CTCTATGCAAAATGTAATCATAATCACCGAGCAGGAGGTGTTGCGATTTATGTGAATACCTCCTTGTCCTGTCAAAGGGTAAATAATGTAAATCTAATAACAGCTGATTGCGTTCTTTTACAAATTAAGTTAGCTAACAATTATTTAGTTGATATTGTCGGATTATATAGACTGCACGAATACAATGAGACCCGGTTTACAGATGAGTTCGAACTGTTTCTACAACAAATAAAAACGAAGAATGTAATTATAAGTGGTGATGTAAATATAAATTTGTTAAAGAAAGACAGGGTTTCTGAATATTATTTGATTAAAATGTCAAGTATGGGTTTCAAGTCTATGCTTTGTGAACCAACAAGGATAACTAGGGACTCGGCTACCTTGATAGATCATATATTAGTTAGACGCAACGCAAATCACAATTTAGACTGTAGTTCTATGGTAATTAGCTGTGATATTTCGGATCATTGTATGACCGCAATCTGTGTGAAATGTGATCGTCAATCACAATCAAATACTGTTCCAGATGTAAAGCCAAAGATTGAGTACAATATATTAAATAAGCGTCTCAGAGAAGCTGACTGGTCTAACATGTACACTACCCATTCAACATCTCTTGCTTTTCGAGCCTTTTTAGAAATTTTAAACAAATGTATATTGAGTTCTACTAAGGTAAGGCACTTAAGCAGAAAATACCAAAAATTAAAACCTTGGATGAACGAAGAATTACTAAAGATGGTGAATAAGAAAAACTCCTTGTACAAAAGGGTTTTTAAATCGCCAAATAATAATGTGTTGATATCTGAATACAACATTTTTAGGAACAATGTTGCAAGTAAAATAAAAGAAACAAAAACCTTGTTTTATAAAACCATGTTTGAGTGTAATAAAAACGATCCCAAACGTCAATGGCGTACTGTAAAAGAACTAACAGGTGAAAATGTTAAGAAAAATATTAAAATAAATCTCAGAGATAATGATAATTCAATAATCAATTGTCCAAAACAAGTAGCGTGTTCACTGAATAACTTCTTCTGTACGATAGCAGATGATCTAAGACAAAACATTGTCAAAGATAAGACAGACATGAACGGCGATATAGAAAAATTGTTGCAAAATAGTTTATAACTCTCGCCAGGAAAGATTGCCGGTTAGACCGGGAGATGATGACACTTTTTGTGGTGTGATTTGCTCTCGGATTTGCTACAAGTATGGCGACCATTCAAACGTTTAATTAAGTACTCCTCAAAACGAAAATGGTGCTAACTCTCTGGGAGTGGGGCCGTTATTGCGTGACGATTGTTTAAACATGTCGGAAAATTTAATGATTTTGGACAATTTGCTACACAAAATTCTTTGGATTTTCTGGTAGTCGGTGACAAAACAAATGACGGAAACGAAATGCCATACTTTTCCGGTGGGCCTTATAGCCCGCCATACTCATTTGAAAGTGTCGATTGTTTGTATTTTTTTTGGGTGATTTGCTACAAGCTCATTTTTTTATGAGCATCAAGTCCTCAATCAGTCATTCACGAAAATCAACCTGCCATACCGCAGCGACGGGCCCCCATAGCCGCCATACCCGCACAAAGATGTCATTTTTGTAAATAATTTTGGGCGATTTTCTGCACCCTATAAATTTTTCCACCTATTCTTTTTATAGTCAGAAATAGAAATTTCGATACGCCATACCTGTGGCATGGGCCAATTATGTATAATATTTTTTCAAAAATGTAAGAATTTTCGGAAAATTTGGGCGATTTGCTACAGTATGGCACCAATTTTTCGTGACAGTTTGAGGTGTAATAAAAGTAAATATCAAGTTTCAAACATGAATCCCGGGCCAATCTTGTTTTATCACGAGATGTTATGTTGCTTAATATTCTGCGCCCCACTCGAACATCTTCAGAAAGTTGTAGAGGTTCCGGTCGGGGTCGTTGTGTTCGGCATTGCATTCAATGGAACGCAGGTAGTAGATAGTAGCTGCCATCAAGTTTATACTACCCGCCATAAGTATCTGAACACCTAGTGACTTTGATCAATTTTGATAAAATTTTCAGGGCAGTTGTATTTATTTCGAATTAAGAAACGATGAAAATTTGAACATTATACAAATTAAAATAACACTAATAATATGACCTCAGTAGTCGATGCCCAAATGAAGAAAAAAATAATAATGACCTCAGTAGTCGATGCCCAAATGAAGAAAAAAATAATAATAATAAACGTTTAAACGAGCTCCTGTGTATGGCTATAGCATGTTCAAGACCAAATTTTGCACCTCTAAGTGCATATAGGTATCAAATTTCATTTAGATGCTTTCATAATTAAGAAAGTTGGCACTGTGCATCTGACATACCCATCAACATAATTTTATATATTTTGTATTTTATTATAGTCCTGAATATTACGGATGGAAGTTAACGCACACAGATAATTATGAATTTAATTGGTTCGACGGCGACGACATGCCCACTACTGTCGGAGACCTATATCATTCTGGATCGCATTGACCAAGAGAATGAAAATCAAATCGATTAGAGTACTAACGAGGGCAATGGGAACGAAACAAAAGAGACCGATGACGATAATTGTTAAACGCGAGTACGATATTATATCTTGTCGGGATAAGTTAATCAATTTAGAACAATTATTCTTTTGAATGGATTGTGTTACCAATTTTTAATAATAAAATCATTTTTTTGAAGCTCACGAGAAGGTCGTTTTCAAGGTTCCTTGCTTGTCCCAGTTATAGCACAAAGATGTTTTAAGAAAACAGATTTTCGAGTATGGCGCCATCTTTAGCCTTCATGACGAGTATGGCACATATATCATGGATCAATGTGGAGCATGAACTTTCGGAAAATCCAAATGCCATACTGTAGCAAATCACCCAAAATTATTAACAAAAATGACATCTTTGTGCCGGTATGGCGGCTATGCGGGCCCGTCGCTGCGGTATGGCAGGTTGATTTTCGTGAATGACTGTTTAAGGACTTGATGCTCATAAAAAAATGAGCTTGTAGCAATCACCCAAAAAAAATACAAACAATCGACACTTTCAAATGAGTATGGCGGGCTATAAGGCCCACCGGAAAAGTATGGCATTTCGTTTCCGTCATTTGTTTTGTCACCGACTACCAGAAAATCCAAAGAATTTTGTGTAGCAAATTGTCCAAAATCATTAAATCTTTCGACATGTTTAAACAATCGTCACGCAATAACGGCCCCACTCCCAGAGAGTTAGCACCTCGGTTAGCACCATTTTCGTTTTGAGGAGTACTTAATTAAACGTTTGAATGGTCGCCATACTTGTAGCAAATCACACCACAAAAAGTGTCACCATCTCCCGGTCTAGGTCACAGCACACCTTGTGTCGATTTACAATCTTTGTTTTTATTAAGATGCGAGCGACTTCTGGAATAGAATCGTGCTAATGTTGAACAAAAAGTCTTTTCGTTCAACATTGACACGATACTATCCCGGAAATCGCTAGCACCTTACGAAAAACAGGGATTGTAGATCGGGATCAAGTGTTCTGTGACCGGCAATCTTTCCTGGCGAGAGTTATAAGTAGGTAAGTAATTGGATGAATTTCAATCGGTCTGAGGTTTCAAAAAGAATTTCAGGGAATCTCGGGGGATTGAAGGGGAATTGAGGATTTTATCTCGTGCAATTTCCAAGGATCTCTGATTCAAAGAAGATCCCTTATATTATACAGGGTGATTCCTATAGTACCTGCCACCGTTTGGGAGCGTATAGGGGGTGCCTAGGGGAGTATTTTGATATAGGACACTTGGGGTCGGAAATCTAAAATAAAGGCGCCAGAACCAAATTTATCTTCTGGAATTTCACGCCTGTATGTAGGCAACCCAACCGACCGACGTTTCGCGCGGAGCGATGCAGAGCGAGTTAGCGCGAGGAAGCGACATGGGAGGGAAGGAGGGAAAACGACAGTCAAAAGCAATAACGTTTACAAGTGTTCAACGTGGCCACCGTTGTTCTCAATGCACTTCCTACATCTAGCCAACTATTATTATACTATTGCCATAGTGTTTATTCACTTGATCGCGTCGTTGCAGACGGGATTTCGTGGGTTTAAACAAAATTCTGATCAAGTGTCAGCCACACATCGCCGCCTGAGATCGCTCCGTGTGCACCGCCGGCCGGTTGGGTTGCCTACCTACAGGCGCGAAATTCCAGAAGGTAAATTTGGCTCTGGCACCCTTATTTTAGATTTCCGCCCCCAAGTGTCCTATATCAAAATACTCCCCTACGCACCACCTACACGCTCCCAAACGGTGGCAGGTACTATAGGAATCACCCTGTATACAAAATTTTGTCAAACCAACAGGTGATTTCGAAATTTCAACTGGGCACTTTACGTTTAAAAGTAAGAGGTTAATTGCGAGGTTAATTGTTGATAGCCAGTTACGCTAATAAACTCGTATTCTCGAGTCAACATTTCGTCCGGTTGCTGTACAAAAAGTTACTAGGTACGTAAGTAAATTGCGGTTTTATAAAAATTTGTTCATTTCTAATCAAATTTCTTATAACTTTCCGGAAACGGCCGGCTTTTCGATTAGGTACGTTTTCATTAAAGCAGGTAGATTAACCGCGTTTATGATTGTGTAACAGTATCCGGAGTGGAAATTGGAATTTTGTGTACAAAACATTAATTTTTGTTTCGGAACGTTCAACGAGTTAATAAAAAGTGGCCAGTTGCCAATTTACCTACTCAATTATGTTCTTAATTAAAGAATGAAAAAAAGTTCCATTCATGCCTTGTTACTATTTAATTGCCCAATTACTTTCACTGTCGTCTGCCGATAGGCGATAACAATAAACATGCGAGCATCAAGAGTAAAATTATCGTGCCATAAAAAGAAGCTGCTGGTTACGATTTACTAATTCTCGTCTGATTCATTATCGTACTCTACCGGAAAAGATAATGATCTTCCGTAGATCGTATTATACAAAAAATAGTAAAAAGTACTTACGGTTCCTGTAAAATTGATGATGAGATCTTAAGAATAATATCTAGAAAATCTTGATCTGAACACCAAATGGACGGTCTCTGAGGTTGACTATTAACGTTAAATACTCGAAAGAGTACACATAAAATAACGGCGAAGACGGCTAAAAGGGCTGTTGACATTTTACCGGAATAATGTTTCACTTTCTATCACTGTCAACATAACCTTACATTTGGAACGCATACGTTTTCACGAAGAGCACCAATTCAAACTGTTGATACCAGGATGATATACTTTTTGACTGAATCATATGTAGCCAATCGGGTTCAATGTTGTGGCCATGTGATGGCAAAGGGCCGGGACGGCCACGTTCTACCGGAGTTGTAATGTGAGTTGCGTCAGTTAGGCGCGCATACTGCGTTAAATATTATAATAAACATTGAAACAAATTTTCGCGTTAGTCGCTTGTCGATTATTCATGAGGCAGGATATTCGATATTTTATGCGTTCACCAGACTGAAGCCAAAACCAAATTTATTAACAAAAATGACATCTTTGCGCCGGTATGGGTATGGCGGCTATCCGGGCCCGTCGGTGCGGTATGGCAGGTTGATTTTCGTTACTATGTTTTCGTGAATGACTGATTGAGGACTTGAAAAATGAGCTTGTAGCAAATGGCACCCAAAAAAAAGAAACAATCGACACGTTCAAATCAGTATGGCGGGCTAATAAGGCCCACCGGAAAAGTATGGCATTTCATTTCCGTCATTTGTTTTGTCACCGAGGCACCAACTACCAGAAAATCCAAAGAATTTTGTGTAGCAAATTGTCCAAAATCATTAAATGTTCCGACATGTTTAAACAATCGTCACGCAATAACGGCCCCACTCCCAGAGAGTTACCTTTGAATGGTCGCCATACTATATGATCTAAGGCCATACTTGTAGCAAATCACACAACAAAAAGTGGCGTGGCACCATCTCCCGGTCTATATGTCCATAGCTGATAGCTTTCAATGTAATAATATTTTGACGTTTCGTTGACGGTGCGGTGACGGTACGTATAGTATGAATCGCGACTAACCGCTCACAAGTAGCGGTGTAGCGCTTCTGATTCTGCTGAACAGTTCGCTCAAGGCCCCCCTTGGGTCCGCTCAAGGCCACTGTGGTACCTACCAAATGTCATTTCTCACTTATGTCAACTTGCAGATGTGTTGCACCCTCAAACGCCACAACCGCAAGCGTTAAGAATTTGAATTTGTGCCAGCACTTGTTTTGATTATACACGGTGTCCATTTGTCGGGTGCCACTATGGGGATCTCGCATATCTTAAGAGATAGACATTTGGTTAAATTAGGGCACAGTTGCGAATTTTCGTGTTGAATAATAATCTGAAAAGAAATTTAAAATATCTTCAATAGTTTTGAAAATATTGCAAAAAAAAGAAAATGTCTGATTTTCGTTTTTAATTTTTTCATAGTAAACTAATCGTTCTAGACATTTCTAATTAACACATTATTCAGACACTTTTTAATGGAGATTTCGAATATGGCATCCCGTTTTCAATAACTTTTAGGATGACGGAGAAACACGTGGCAACTTTAATTTTTCTTATGGGCGCCGTTTTGGATTTTGACATTTTGAGATTACGTCTTTTTTTCTCTTTACAACGATATATCACACATGGTATGGTTCAGCAACACATTTTTCCTAAAATTACAATTTTCATTTTCTACGAAGAGTGCTTTGGAAAAACAAAACGTTCTTTTGTTGTGCACAACAGGTTGACTTACTTTAAGTAGTGTAATTTACGTTTGTGCTAGAATTATTGCGAAAGCATTTTGTTCTAATTTGAATTGATTTTCTTACAAAACGAAGGTTCAATTCTATTCAGATGAAATCTCAACACAACTAGTTCCCAGCCAACGCTCCAACCAGACAGATGGATCGAACTGTCTAACTTTTGTTCACGATAAAAGAACGTTTTGTTTTTCCAAAACACTTCCCGAAAAATTAAAAAGTGCCTGAATAATGTTTTTTTGCGATATTTTCAAAACTACTAAATATATTTTTAATTTCTTTTCAGATTATTATTCAGCACGAAAATTCGCAACTTTGCCTCCATTTAACCAACTCTCTATCTCTTCAGGTAAACGAGATTCCCATAGTAGCACACGAAAAATGGACACCGTGTATAGGGTGTTTTTTTAAGCCCGACAGAATTTTAAATTTGAATAAATAATAGATACAAAAAATCTGTTTTATTTGGGAAGATCAAAAAATTATTTGAGGCATATGGCCACCGCGGCTGTCCCTGACGAAACGCATTCTGTCAGTCCAATTTCGGGTCATTTTTTCCAGCATTGGTGCCGTTATGTTATTAATCACATGGTCCATGGAAAATGTTGGTTTTGATTTGCTTCAGCGCCAGCCGCCAGCGTGTCCGACTCCGACATGCCGTGTCGTCAATCGTGTTCGTCATTACGTGTTAGCTTAGGAAATTTTACTCATTTATTAGTGGAGTGTTTTCGTGAAGTTTCTAAAAAATGAGCGGCAAAGAAGGAGACAAAAGTTAGAACAAAAATTCAATGAAGTATTACTAAAAAAAACCCAAGATTTAGCTTTTTTCCCCTACCTACTGGCCGCATAGTATGACTTAGCCCCCGAGCGGTGAATTAGCTTCGCTTTTGTAATTTCAAAAACAAAAACGAAATAAAGAATGTAATATGGTGTAAACAATATACAAATAAATTGTAAATGTAAAAATTGTTACCATTTTCAAATATCACAATTAAATCAAATACTTAAAAATTCCATCCAGTTATAACAAAAATGTATTTACCAGACTATTGCCTATAGTCGATTTGGTCAGAGGGACTGTATGGATCAGTCAACTCTGCAGATTACAAATTTACAACAACCGGACGCTTTTATCTCTGACAATTACTGATTTTTGAACCATATGGATAAATGTATCCAGCTCGCTCTGGTATTAACTATTGTCCCAAAAAAGGTAAATGTAGCGTTTTCATTCCTCCTACCCCTTTCACTACTCCAGCATCAGTGGCGAACCAAACGAAATCCATTTCAACCAGAGAACAAAAAGATATATATGTCATTAGGTACCTAAGATAATTAATTAAATAACTCTATTTTGTATGATGACAAGGGATAGTCAATGTACCAAGTACCTATTTGATTTAATCAGAGTCAATTTTATCTATAATGTTAGCGAAAGATGCTCGTATACCACGCGTATCAAGATTAGTAACGGCAAAAACACTTCCAGCAGCAGGTTGCATTAATCTATCAGCCGCACTTAAAGCATGGCGGGATGTAGTTACAAATAAAACGTCCAAATTTGGCCCACCCCACGCCACCGAAGAGACACACTGCGCCGGGATTGCCACAACTTGCAGCACACAACGTGTAGTTGGGTTTACTTTAATTACTGCTCCTCCATAATATAACGCGATCCACAAATTATCATCTTTATCAATTGCCATTCCATCTGGAAATCCTCCCAAGTTTTTGTGCTCTGTTACATTAAACACCACTCTTGGATTGCTAATGTTGCCATTGCGAATGTTATAATCAAATTCCCTTACAGTGAAGGTAAGTGTATCAATGTAATAAAATTTATTGAGCGCCCTGTTCCAAGCCATCCCATTGCTGATATTGACTGGATGTATGACAGGTACGGGATTGTTCAACGTATGTTTGGAGGCCAAATATAAAACACCTTCGTTTGGTGTAACGCCTGCTGGACCTTCAAATCCCATTGTACCTGCAATTAAAAGCATAATGCTGTTATCATACATTCAACTAAAATGTTAACACTCTTAATAGATAACATGAGTGAGTACAAACAAAACATCGAATCAACAACTCACCAAACCACACTCTTCCCATTGGATCAGCTTTGCCATCATTAATTCTACTAGTTGGGAATTGCTGCGATACTGTCGTTAGGTTTTTCTTAGCTTCAATTTGACCTTTACCGTCCCACTTAATAGCGAATAAAGATCTTTCCACACCAACAATAAACAAATTAGGATCCCTATGCGAGGGAATCACTGGCGTTGTGTTACCATACAAACGTACCGCATTCAATTCGTTTGTAAAATAATCGTAACTTAAAACTCTCCCTTCAAAAATGTCAACGAAATACAGTAATCCAGTTCTACAATCCCAAATTGGTCCTTCCGCATGATCGATTGGCTCTGTTACTTGGTGCACAGCTGGAGTCCCAAATAGCACAGCTTTACTGTCATGAAGTAGTACAAATTAAATTTGAATAATAAGGCCTCGAACGTACCTACCTTATATGTATAACACATACAAAAACTATCGAAAGATTCATTTTATTTTAAATAGGTGGTATACAGTTTTACCTCCTTCATTAACTAGGTACCTAATGATAAATGTCCCCACTCTATTGTTTACTTTTACTTACACAATAGGTACAGTTCAGTGAGTTTTTATTGCTATTTCCTAACAAACGGAGAATTTGTTTACCATAAATCTTCTTAAAATAAGTATAACGTAAACGGTAGCCTTATGTATTTGTATTCCGGCTACGCAGACTTATTACTTAAATTAGACACATTAGACACGTACAACACTGCTTGGCTTGTGAAGGTGTTTGTTAGAAAAGAATTTATCAAGTGGATTTAGTACATACATATGCAAAATTAAATGACTGAAGGGTAACCGCAAGGTTTTTGCATGAAAAAAAGTGTGTACCCCTGGTGGGACTCGAACCCACAGTCCCCGGCTTAGGAGGCCGATGCCTTATCCATTAGGCCACAGGGGCTTGTACATAACAATTGTGTTTCACTATAATAGATGTGTGCTTAATATATGACCTTTCAGTATAAACTTCTTTCTCATAAATGATATTTATAATTTATTGAGTTACCGTACAAAATAAAAATAAATATTCACAATAATCATCGACTCGTCCCTAAAACGGTAATTATATGCTTATTTTGAATTTCAAAGTTGATATAACAACCAGTGGCGTAACACATTAGAGATGTAACGGAAGTGGTTATATCGGAACCGAATTCTGAAGCGGAGTTTTTAAATTTGGTTTATCGGAACCGAAATCGGAATCGGAACCGTAAAGAAAAGACATGTCACATCTTAAATTACAATACTAATATGTAAATAGAACAAATTAAGTGACTCAAAAAGAAGCAAATTATACTCAAGGAACACAACAACAAGTGAAAAGGCATATTGTATTTCCTCTATGGAAAACGTGATCAGTACAGAAGGAACGAGGTGAGGAAGGTTTTCCCGCGCGACAAGTATAAACGTATTTGTACGCAAACGCACGGATTGTATATACATACGTTCAGGCCTTCTATTTTCTCGTGTGAGTACCCTTCCGATATATCATTCCTGAAATGAGAGGATTATATACAATTTCGATTGGAGCTTTTCCACAAAAGCCCCAGCTTCAACTGAACCGGCCCACACGGGCCGGCAGTTTTTAGTGATACTTAATAATCAGGAACATTTTACGTTGGATCCACTATCCAGGCAGATTTAGACAATTAAAAAATGCACCGAACAAAGTGACATTGATTACCCATAACCTAAACGCGACGGCAGAGACCCAGCACACTTATAAACTTTGATACTATTCCTATTTGTAAAGTCACGTGTTAATACTTGGAAAAAGCTAAGACCACTTTGAACTTGAGACAGTTATCACCTTGTGAAACTGGAAGCGTGTCTGTCTAGTATAGTATAGAATAGTAGCTATATTTTGGGCGGGAAATTCAAATATTTGTTTTTCATTAAGTATATAGGTAAAAATTTTATAGCCGTTGCGATTGGTAGTATTTGTGTCGCAGTAATTCAATTTTTATGACCCATTGTTCCACCGAGATGACTAATAAAGTATAAAAACTGCACTATGCAGCACGAGTTTTAATAATGGAATAATAGAATCATCAAGATTATAAGTGATTAAAAAATTTTATTTTCGCAGCAAGCATATACAAGAAGAGCTAGGTACTTAAGTTTTTAGCGCATTTTTGCAAATTTATTTAATCTCACTTTGGCTGGCTGGCTGGATGGCAGTAAATGCGAGCCCGTAGAAAAACGCTTGTAAAAAGACGAGGAGTGTACATGTACCTATCGGAGCCGTGTAATTAACACTTTAGGGACGGAGCTACAAGATGTGGGGTCGGCGACATCTGGGCGCCATCCACGAGCGTGTTATACTAACCTGGAGATTTTTCAGTTTTTTTCTATCTTATTCTACAGTTTTTCTCCGATTGTTTTCAAATAAGTGTCGTCGGAAAGATCTTGTCAACGCACAACTCCTGCGTGGCGGAATTTTGTTGTTTTCTTAGCGGCGAAATGAACCACCTTTTTCCACCAACACGCTTCGAGGAATTGTCGATTTTAGGCGCCCAAAAGTGTCTTAGATCTCGAAACTGTGTACCGCTAGGTGTACCGACAAAGAGAATGTGATAGCCCCCGATAAGATCTTACCGATGGTGGAGTCAAAACATCAAACGCGAATTGTGGGTGAATGGGATGTCGGAAGTGGATACCGACAAAGGGAATATGGTAGCCCTCGACAAGATTTTACTGATGGTTCAGTCACAACTTCAATGGCGAATATCAACTTTCTTATTTATTAATATATATTTTGTTGAAATTTTAAATAAGTAAAGACACTTCTATTAAAGGCAAACATCGCTTATAGTAAAAATTAGATGACGCATGCGCATGCGCAATGTCACCATTCTTATTTATGGAGATATTTCTTTGAAATTTTAACCATAGATGCCTTTAGTAAAGAAAAACAGCGCACATAGGTATTGCCTTTATTTGGGAAGTACTGATGAATGCATGGAAAATGCGCTGAGTTACTGGGCTTAGGGCGAAAACCTTTTTACTTGTTGTAACTTTCACTCAAGCTAAAACTTTTAATGACCTGGTTGGTTAAGGGAAGAAATCCCCATTCTTGTCTCGCACAACGTCAATGGTGGTTTCATGGTACTGAAAGGTCTCATCGAAATAAATTGGTTTGTACAAACTATTACTTTCGCGCTCGACTCCTTTTCGAGATCAGTGAGTGACTGGTTTCTACCAACTACCGCTCTGCTTTCTGACCCCTTATCAAAAGAGGGGGTTTGGGGAGGGGTGGAACTGGTTTTCTCCTTCATGGCATTCTAATGATGATGATCTCAACGAAAGGCATTGATTTCTACCAACTATGGTCCCCTCTCTCTATCCCTTATCGTGATCGGATATAATTCCTTATATGTCAAGAACAGAACAAAATCCTAGGTCTCGTATAATGAACTACAATGAACAAAAAGAGCGAATGTTTCGCTCGTGGCAAAGAAAATGAAGAAATTCGATGGCCAATATGAAGATCATACCAACAGAGGGTTGGATACACTATCCAAACAGTCAAAGAAATGAGTGCGTATAAGTAATTGGGATCTTACCCGCATAGTTTCGTCATCACAACTGACTAGTGGGTAAGGTGATAGGAATACCTACCTATTATTTTTGAAGTGACTACTCCTTATCGCTCGGTATGCACTGTATGATATGTATGTATGTAACATCATCTCATGCGTCACGCCCGAGTAATTCCGTGCGAGCCGAAGGAGATCTCGGCATTATTAAATCGCATTGAAAAGATCGCAATAAAATCGTCGATGTGTCTTTGAAATTGACTAATATGCACATTTGAAGCGTATTTAATAGCTTCAGAGCAAATAAAATGAGTTTGTTAATGACGTGTAATAATTGATTTATTTATTTATGTATTTATTTAGTAATTTATTTACCTATTTATTTATTTATTTATTTATTATTCTTCTTTTGCTCTGAGCCCTCAATAGGCCTGCGCGCAATTGCATCAGAGTGACCGCGTGATGCTTTTCCGAGGTTTATGGCTATTATAAAGTATAAGCGACAATTTATTAATAGAACCGTGATTGTATTGCAGCTGGTAAGGCCGCCGCCTATCGATTATGATGACGCGGGTTCGAACCTCACGAGCGCGCGCTTTTTTTTGACAAATCCGTCACGGGCCGGTTTTTAACTATAATGTTGTACATAATCTTGTATTACCAGAGACTTATTTCTCTAATACATCGCGGTAAAAAAAGGGAGCGAAGGTGTGTAAGAGAAAAAGAAGTAGTAACTTCTGTCGCCACTCACAAAGTGTCACTTTTTTATTGCAATTTTCTGACCAATACTTACTTTTTGTGGTCATTTTAATATGATTATACAAATAATCGATCATTTAAAAACAATTCAACACTTACAAGAAAATGAAAATATTTTCACCAACTTATCCGAATATCAACAATTATAATTTTTAGATAGGTACTTTTGCAAATTCGGACGTCAGTTAGAACTATATTCGTCGAGTTATACCACCAAACTACACCTTACCTCAAGTTGTGGTCACTGAATGTTTATTTACATTGTTTTTATCGATGGCGCGATTTCGCATGAAAGTGAGCGTGGCAAACGAACAATGCCACGCTTTTTTTTAAATTTAAACCGAAGCTTCTACCTATATTATCTTGTCTACCAGAAAAAAAGCTACAATTAGTGAACAACCCAAATCGCATAAGTAGTAATGGTACGAGTGGTCAAAGGTGGGGTGAAATGAACGTTTATTGATAATTGTAAATTGTAATTACGAAGTACCTATCAACGATCAGTTATAAAATCTCTAGGTAGGTGTGCCTATATCGACAAGCTCTACTTAACTAGTAATTAACAGTAAAGAAAAAAATGCGTCTTGTGAGGTCGGTGTTTCTTTAATTAAGTTCTTATTGTCTTTAAATTTCATGAGTGAATGTTTCCACGCCACTGAGAAATCCCGTAAGAAAGAAACTGTATCTTAGCCGTTAACGTTACGTTACTCACCTGTCTTTTTATTTAATTTGGTATCGTCTTGCACTTTAGTTCTAATGAAACCTGCTCAAATGTGTTGACTAAATAATTGTGTAATCGTGTTTAGAAACTTCAATATTAATCCAATAGTTCATGAAGCCGTTGCGAATACCTGGTACTGGTACTCTTTGATGTAAGTACGTCAGTTTATCAATTTTATTATTTTGACTTTTAGTTTAATATGCGAATCCAAAAAATTATTCTGGAATTGTAGATAATTACAATGTATACCAATTGCAGACCCATTTAAAAAACATAATTAGCACTTCTTTCCTGCTTTTTTGATATTGTAGGGTGCTAATAAAATTGTGCATATCACAGACCGTTGTTTTAAACTCTTTAAAAATTACCCCCGATAAAACAGTTTAACAGATTAAAATACTATCGTATGTGGTTGTGGTATAACTAATCAGTACACTTGATTATTTTGCAAATGCATGATTTGTTCCTTTTTCTTTATACGAGTAAGGGTGTTTTGTAATAATGCACGACCGTATCTGAAAAATCACCATCGTCCACCAAAAATTTGAATAGGGAACGAGTTTCGACAGGGCTGTCATCGAAAACAAACAAAATTACCAGTCTTTTGAATTAATTTTCTTCTTCTAAAATCGCGCTTTGCCAATTTGGAGCTTGTTTCTAATTAGCAAATTTTTCAACTAGTGGTCGATGAAGAAGTTGACCTGCCGTACTCTTATCAATAATAATTTTCTGATTCTTGGAATTTGATTGAACGCTGACAATTGGGACTTTTGCTGTCAGCAGATCAATAGGTATAACATTGATATTGACAAAGTCACATAAACGATACATAAATTTTGTATAAAAACACAAACACGTAGGTAAACTAACACTAAACAATAAAATCGTTCACTTTATATAGCGCTTTCTCCAGTAAAAATGCTTTTAATTTTTGTTTGAACATGTGTGGTGACTTTTCCATAGTTATACTGGGAGGCAACGCGTTGTACATCTTAATGCCATTATATTCGGGACTTTTTTCGTATTTAGCAGAGTTATGCTTAGGCATGGACAGGGATGCACCTTTTCTTGTAAAGTAAGTGTGGTAGGAGCTTAGTGTGGTAGGAGCTTAGTGTGGTGAACTGGTGCACATTGTGGTATATAAATATACATAACCTATATACATATACAGACGGAAGTGTTAACAATTCTAGTTTCGCTGCAGGTCTAAAGAAATTCAAAGTAGGGATAAGTGATCACTGTCCTAGTGCCGCTTGCTTGACATATTGTCCCTGCTTTTTTGAGTTCTCTAGAAATAAGACAGTTGACGCTGCGCAGTTTGCGCATGCGCACGCTAATAGACTAGATTGTTCTTGGTTGAGGTGCCAAAGTTATAAGCTGCCGAATGCAAAAAAAACGAAATAAACATCTTGAAAAGTGTACGAGTACTTAAGGCCTCGGACGGACGGAAGGACCGGTGGAGAAATTGGCCATAATAGCGGCTTCCACATTAATAGTGTTTGTCCGAAAAAATTAGTTTCTGATTTCGTATATGGATACAAAGTTACGAGTTTCATTTAAGACAAAAGACAATAGTGTCGCATCAAGTGACGATTGTACCGTACTCGACCGTGATCGGTAGGTGAAGGAAAAGTCGGGGATACGGTACTTATTTAATAGTGCTCAATTGTTTTGTTAATTCCAATCTAAAATTCTCGTGTATCTCCTTTGATAGAATTTTGAGCATATTATTCAGAAGGGTCACGTTTACGACACGAGCGAACTTGCAAGCAAGTTATCCTGGGCGAATAAGGACTATTTGTGTCTTGTTCATATGCGTTATGCGCTCGGTTATACGGTTATCATTTCCAATTTCTCCGATGTCGCATGGATTGCTAAATCTGTGAATTTTTTCATGTCCGTTTAATTTTTTTAGGTCCTTAAAATTTCCAACACAGCCAATTTTATTTTTCTTTATCAATGCATTTAACCGTTTCCTCAATCAAATTTTGGATTTCATTGATCATATTGATCGCTAAAGTAAAGCAAATTTCATGATTAAGTTTTGGCTAATCAAAATGCAACAAACGTACCTATAAACATAAACGGAAAAAGGGTAAAATTATGAGAATTTAAAGATTAGATATTTTGCTATAAGTGTCTTTCTAAGAGACACAGAAAATTTCGTTCCTTAGTGCAAGCCTCGACACAATATCGAACTAAATAGCAACAAAGTAGCTCTTAAGATAAAGATCTGAAAGTGACACAGCCGTAGGAACGGTCGGACGGACGGACCCACGGAAATGCCCTATGACCTTGACTATGCGTACGCGCAATTCATTGTCTGACATAGGTTTTCAATTATAAGAAGCATTTTCTCCAAAAAATTTTAGCAAAACTTGTCCACAAATAAAAAGATGGATTTGGCAAAAATTTCTTTAAAGAATTTTTTAATATTAGGTGAGGTCTAAGCCTTATTTAATTAAATGGATCTGTTTTGTTTGCAATATTTCGAAAAAAGGTATGGTATTTTTACCATCAAAAATTAACTATAATTGATATTTTCATTGACTTTAGTTTACCCTGAGATTCACATACCCACGACTACAGTGCCCTCAATCCGTGACCATCCATTTTGAATTGAAAGCATAGGGCTAATAGCAGTCCATGTATGTACTACTGTATGTGGTCTAATATTTACAAGCCGTGCTGAGAATTATGGCAACACTGCAGGTAGGGCCGATTTCCGAATTAAACTTGACAGATTTCAGGTGTATTTTTGGTGTAATAATCCTTTACCTGTTTTAACACAGCGAAATTGCGACGATTTGCGTTACTCCGTATTGAATCAACAGAAATTATTATTCGGGTAAGTTGCTAAACGAAATACATCGATTTGTTGTGAATTTTAAAGTGAAATAGAAATGTTATTATCCATTTTTGTAAATGAATAAAATAGTCTGCCTAAGTATCTTTCTTCGGTATTAAAACCACCAAGGCGAAACACAGAAACAGAGCAACAAGACGCTATTAAAACTTTCATCGGCTCTCCGATTGACTTTCGGACAACGTTGACAAACTTCTCAGCATGGCTTGTAATTATAGACGGCTGTGATATAGCGTATATGCGTCCTCTATCTTTATTTCTTACTCTACGGTTGAAACATATCATTTCAAAATGTTGAAAAATATACACCAATGTAATTCAGTAAAAAGAATGCAAACAATTTACGTGAGTACAGGGTGTAGCAGTTAAAAAATGGCAACTTTGGGTCAAATCTCAGAAACGGTGTCCAAAAATTTTATGCCGGTGAAATGATCGGTGAGCGTTTTGGGCACAGGCGACGTTTTGGACCTTGGACGTTTCATCTTTTTGTCACAGTCGGCGTAATATCATTGAATAAAAATTCTATGGTAATATCCTATATTCTATAACATATTTTAATAAGAAAACATTATATTCGACCAATTAATCGAATAGATTTCGATCGTTGTGTCCTGAGTAAAACCATTGAATAAAAACCATTTATTCAATGGTAAAACAAAGGAATTTTTCGCTATGTAAATTTAAATAGTTGAAAGTTAAGACTTTCCTTTAATTTCATTTTTTAATTAATTAGCGTAGATATATTACGTTTTTCTTTTTAAAAATGTAAAAAAAAGAAAACTCGATCCATACATAATCTTTACATGAACTCATCTTTGTTTACATAACATATATGTATATAAATGTGTTATGGTTAACTGTTTTTGTTTGTTATTAGAGCGTAACGCAGCTGTACAAGCATTTCACTTTGCAAATAACTGTATTAGGGCATTCGAACGAAATGAGCCGTCCATTAAGATAATCATATACTCGTACACTGTTTTACACCTAAGTACCTACTTGAAATCTCAACTTAAAACAGTAGATATAAGAATGCGATTCTTATTCAATGCCTAAAGCTAAACTATAGTATAGTATTATTATGCCTAAACTGATGAGGATTACAATAGAAAGCTTAGACTATGGAAAGTGACAGTGTCGGTGTTAACTGAGCGTGTTTGCAAAAAAAATGTCAGATGATGAATATGCATTAATTTTAAACGAAAGTAAAATCTACAGACGTATTTATCCTCGTTAAACGAATTAAAAACGTTATCCTTCATCTTCCTTTCGTGAGAATGTTGGAGGTATTGTATCGTGAAATTCTAGAAAGTTTGCCATACCTAAGTAACATACCAACACATTAGTTGTTACTCGTTATGGTTAATGGTAATGCTTTTTTAACTCTTTTTCGTAAATTTTCCAGTCTAATATTGTGACCAATTTCTCTGCAAATCCCACTATCTGTTCGAATTCGAAACCGTAACATTATACCACTAACCACAGCTCACAATACGCTCGGGAGTCGGGATACTTTCCGCCGGAATTCAAAGTGGCACTTATTACCCCCATATTTAAATCAGGAAATCCCCAAGATCTAAAAAAGTACAGACCGGTGTCACTAAAAAAAATTAATATTCGGTTAGCATTACGAAAAAATAAGACATAATAAAGAATTCTGTTATAAAGAGGCATAAACAAATTTTAAAACCATATAGGATGTTCCGTTTTAATATACCTGACTTTTATACAACACCCTGTATACCCAAAAATATTATTAGGTTATAAAAGCGTGCCCAAACCGACAGCTTATAGAATATTCATATATTATTTGACAAATACTCATTATGTATTTTATTTGTTCGATTTTAATCACTAATACTTCTAGTAAATAGTCCAGGCTATATAATATTTTGTTACAAAAAAAATTAGTTACCGGGCGAAACCGGGTTTTTCAGGCAGGTGAAATGAATAGAAATTGGGAAAAAATAATTAAAACAGAAAGAATTTTTCGTCGGGTGAAATCCCGGGGGTTGAAAGGGGTGTTCATCTATACGATGAAAAAAAATAGATTTTTCATCCCCTTGAAAAAGAGGTGTTTTTTTTCAGAAATCGTGAGATCTTGGAAACGGTTCAACTTTACAGGCCCAAAAAATTATCTTCTTTTTTATCATAAAACAAGCTATGTTTCCTCCAAATTTCAAACCCCTACAACATTTTTTCGCAAAAATAAGAATAAAAGACGAAAAAAATTAATAGTTTTGCCACAATTTGCAAAACACCACTTTCATTCATTCATTCATTTTTATTTAATTCCTTCGACAAATAACATTTGTATGGAACAAGTCAATATAACATTAATTAAACAAACAAACAATTAAATATTGGAAGATATAAAAAATTCTTGTATGTTGTAGAAACATCCATTGACTAGATACTCGTACAATTTCTTTTTAAATTTTTTCCATGTAAGGCAGGTATTATGAGGGAAATGGTTGAAAATTTTAATTCCTGAAACTAGTGGAGAATTTTGTCCTATTTTTGATCTGGCCAATTCTGTCCTGAACTGATCATTGTTGCGTAAATTATAAGAGTGCACATCTCTATTTGTTTTTAATTTCTCCTGACTATTAAAAATAAGTTTACTTATTTCAAATATATACATGCCGGTTACGGAGTTCCCTGAAGATCTCCCTGCAGGTATGAAATTTGGATACATTCGTAATTGTTCTCAGAATTTGTTTCTGAGATACAAATACTGTTTTGACTTTATGGATAATCCCCATAGACATATACCATACCTAATTATAGACGCAACCAACACATGATGTATGTTTATTAACTGTGGTAACATCATAACCGTCCGTAAGTTCCTGAACAAAAAGTTTAGTTTGGACAGTTTATCAATGACATTAGTACAGTGCAATTTCCAGTTTAGATGTTCATCTATTATAATTCCTAGAAACTTAGTAGAAGTTACTTTTTGGATCGCCTTACCGTCGATTAATAAATTTATAGTTTGAGGTTCATTTTTGTAATTATGAAATCTAATGTAGCTTGTTTTGTTTCCATTTAGAGTTAAAGAGTTCCTGTTGAGCCACTGATGAAGTTTACGTAGATTTACATCGGATATTACTAGATAAGAGAGTTATGATCTTTATCTGAGATTAATAAGGAGGTGTTATCCGCATAAAGCACACAACCAATTTGTTCATTTAGGCAAGATGTTA